GATCAAATCAACATCGATTTTGCCTGCAGATAAATTAAAGCAAACTTATATTTGTTACATATGATAGACGAAACTACTACTTGGATTGTGCAATTAGTAAAAATAAAAAGAAACAATGATAATATAAATTTCCTATAGTCATGGCAAAATGACTAAAAATAAACCATAGCTACTCGGCATCCTGATTAGGTGCAAAGCAAAGTTATTTCATATCAAAAGAAAAATCTATTAGATGATTGAGTTAGCTAATCTTTATGTGCAAGATTTCACCTTCAAATGATGTTAGAACTTAGGTCTTAGAATCCATATGTAAATCTCTTGAAATTATAGGTAGAATCATAATCTCCCGTATAAGTTGGACATATTCTTCAAGATAAGAAAACAATTTTGTTATTTAAAAAGGAAAAAAATATACTATGAGATCGAACCAATTTTCAAGAAGACTAAAAAGTAGGAAATATAGAGTGAGTTCAAAGGTCCAAAGAAAAAAAAGGCTCTAAAGCGGCTAAAACAAACCGCATATGGAAGACTTAAAGAAAAAAATTATTGCACGAATATCTTAAATATATATTTATACAATCACATTCTCGATCAAAGCGAATACATGTCGATCCAATAACCATCCTATTATCAATACTTTTAGTAGTATATCCACATACCTCATTATTAAGTGGAAATAAGTCTAAATCTTAATGACCATTATGGTTGCTTGTGGCCAACATAAGTGATTCTTGTACAAGAAGATAGCAGTTTGTTCCTTTAGCATCTGTCATGGCAAAAACTGGCGAACAAAAGATAATAAAACTTACTATATTCTTTCTGCCAAGCTTGACATTTAATTCAATTGGTAGTGACTACAATATTAAAACTAATACAAAGTGCGGGGTAGACAATGAAAGAATGAGAAAAGAGACATGTCAAGATGGTTAACACAAGTCTTGAAGTTGGTGAAATGTTTAGACTCCCGCAACCTATGCCGAAGTTTTAATGGAATTTAAGTATAACAAAAATTGAGTTGGTCCTAATACAATGTATATACTTTATTATTTTCAAAGGGGTAATTTACTATTGTGTATTCTTTTTAAATTGAAACTATTCACTTGTATATGAACTCTTGTAAGAATTAGATTGAGTTTAAAGGGTAAAATTATCGTTTACTTTTTGATGGGTATTTTGGTGATTCAATTCTCAACTTTAGGCTTCACACTTAGAATATAGTATGATGATATAATATGATGAGATGGATAATAGCAAAATTAGATAGAGTTCACGTAAACACACTCTGCTGAGAAAGTATGCTATTTACATACACGGCTGGAAAATTCATCTATGGCTACGCAAGAAAAACCGTTGCAACAGATAGGTACACCGTTGCCATAGATGTATTGCAACGGTTCAGTCCCGTTCCACGAGCTGGCGTGCCTATAGAGCTTATGGAACGGTTTTTTGAATGGTTCAAATAACCGTTGCTATAGTATAGTCTATCGGAACGGTTTTCCCTCTTTTTGTTGGAAAGCTTATTCTTATCAACTGCAATGGTTGCTTTCCGTTACCATAACGTTAAATGTAACGATCAATAACCGTTACTATATCTATTAAATCGTTACGTCTATTATAGAAATGGCAACAATTTTTTTAAGATACTGCAACGGTTGAACTGCCTATTGCAACGGTTTTTAGATTATCTTGAAACGGTTTGCGGGTCGTCCTATGGTAGCGGTTGAACTACCTATTGCAACGGTTTTTAGATTATTTTGGAACGATTTGCAGGTCCTATAGCAACGGTTTTATTAGCTGTAACAGTTTAATAGAATTGAAAATATTGCACCCTGTTGTAAATAAGGATTTACATATATATACAATAAACTATAAAACACTAAAATTTATATAAATAACAAAATGAAACTATTCATAATCCAAATTGTCCAACAAGCTAATCATAAATCCATAGACGGCGTTGAAATGTTACCAAGTACATACATTTGATATTTCAAGAGTTAAAAGTTTTAAAATGTTTTGATAACAAACATACCTAGAAACCGCTACATGCATCTACAACAATCAACAATTCAAAATTCTCTTAAGGTCAAGATCTTCATCACTACCTCCGTCTTCTCTTGCTTCATCTACTCCACCTACAAAAGAGTATAAATAAAGTCATTATCCGTTCAAGAGAATCCTATCTAAAAATTCTCTTAGCCCAATTCTCTTAGAACAAACACAATTTCAGTTTTCATCATCTAGCAACACCCCCTAAGATCAAGATTTGATTTTTACTACTGAGAAATCAAGTTAATGCACTTGTTTTCTCCAGTAACTTCACAAATATGCCAAAATTTCAGTGCTTCAATCTCTCACTAGTAAAAACAAGAAAGAACTGAGATACCCAAATGAACAAATTAAGATTCTATCAACATATGAGACCAAATTAAGCTTGAATTGCTTGAAAATACCAGAAAAGCTCAAAGAACCCAGTAACCAGAAAATTGTGCAAAAAGCAATGATAACATCAAGAAAGTGAATATGGAATGATAAAGAAATCTGACTGAGAAAGTTGCATGAGGAGCTCCCTCTCTAATTCCGTTAATCCCAAATCTACATCCGCAAGTTTCCGGGGAACATTGTTTTCCAGTGATCAATGTGATTCAGAGTCTGCCAATTGCATTTGTGTTCCAGAAGGAAATCTTCTATAGTTTTCAGCTCTCTGCCCCTTCCAAATGGGGACATGTTATGGGCTTATTTCTTTCATTTGGATTGCGTAGCCACCTTTTATTCTTTTTCTCCTTTTAATTTACTTAAGTTTGCTGGGTTAGAAAATCTGAGGTAGAGTGTAAGAGCCAATTTGAATCGGATGTACCATCATCTGAAGCTCTATTGGAAGACACTTTTGTAGTGTTTACAAGCGAAAATTCCAATTTGTATTGTGCTTAATTATTCATCTGGACAAAATGCTATTACTGGTTTTAATTTCTATAAGAAAAAATAGAGTCTTTAACTTCAAGATTCAGTCCACATCTCAACTCTCACAGGAACACTAGAAAAAGATTTAATCTTCAGCTAAAAAGGAATGATTTCAGAGAAAAGTCAAAAGTTGAAGAGAGTGGAGTGTAGACACTAAACATTTTGCAACTAAACATTTAGAATATATGGTTGCAGAAATTATATACAGAAAGCAGTTGATAACTTCAAACTCAAAAAGAGGAAAGAGGAGACGTGTAACATTTGGTACGGACTAACCTTGATTGTTACTGCCAACGGATGGACGATTGATTGGTTGAATAGCACCTTGTTGTGCAGAAGCAGCTTTGCCACGTGCACAAGCACTGAATATTAGCATGTCAGGATCAAGTCTTAAATCGGGATTGAGACGTTGAAGTCGTGTAATGACGTTCATCGTAATATCTTGTTCCATAGCTTCCTTTTGTGCATTGAGCTCTTCCAACAATTTTTCCTTTTGTGCATTGAGCTTTTCCAACAATTTTGTTGCATCCTCTCTTCCATTTCCTCCATTTTTTGTTCCATTCTCTCATCAGTAGCATTTACAGAGGATCCAAAATCTCCTTTTTTTCTTTTTTAAGACAGTCTTGTTAACTCCTCGTCCATACAATCTTACCCGACCTGGGTGCTCAAGTCCCATGACTGATGCAAACGCGCCAACTGAATCACTGCCATCTCCACTTTCTTGAGTTGATTGTATTCTCTCCATTTCAGCCTATAAACCAAATGCAAGAGAACATAGTTTAAGTAAATAAAATTAAGTTGATAATTAAGAACAAATAAATAATCACGACAAACTTTAAATTAGAAATTTCTTACAATTTTACTAATTGTATTCTCATAAAAGCCTTTGTATACTCGATCAGGTTTTCTTTTTCTTGTAGCCACAAAGATGTCCTTACTTGATAGAGTATCCGAAGTATTAGCCATTTCCTTCTTTTTTTCCTAGTAACATGAAAACTGGTATAATAATCTTTTCATGCAAAGTTAGCAAGTTCATACTTTAAGAAAAATAAAAGGAAAAATCAAACCTCGATGATTCGAGCAAAACTTGTTTTGCTAGCAGTGTGTGGATGCTTCAACTTTTTTCGATTCTCGATATTGATTTCAGATTCTGCAAATAAACAAGCAAAGATTGACAAGGGGCCACCTAAAATATTAGTTTTTTGTATTAAAATACAACCGGACTTTGAGTTTGCTTTAATGTTCATGGAATAACATCCCTTTTGGTTTATAGATTTAGTGACAAGGCTTGTTTAGCTGGGTAATGTGTTGAATGCAACACAGATACTTGAGAGGGCTCCAATTTTATACTGTTTGCATTTACATGTCTATTTAGTTGCTAGGCGACAATTTAAGATGAGAACTTAAAGAAATTTCCTAAAGCGTATGTTACGTTTCAGTCAAAATGAAGATCATGCAACTTGCTTCAGAAAGGAGTAGGTGCCACACCAAAAGCAGGGTGGAATGGATCATTCCAAATGCAATCTTCTGGGCAGCAGTGAGAGTATAGTACAGGTTCTGGACACAAGAAGCACTGTTTTAGGCTCCCGTATTAGCTCAAAGTACAGTACAGTACAAGTTTTTTGTTCCCATTTGCATTCAAATTATTTCTCAAACTTGAAATGTTACATACAAGCAAGCGTTTCAGTTTGCATTTTTTCAACAAATATCTACATTCTCTAGATTTCCATTCACCTTACTACAATAACAATTACAATCAATCTAGGGAGACTATTAGCTTCACAACTAGATGAGATACATAATAATAACTACAAACCCTGATATGTACAAAAGAATGTAAAATACCTGGATCCTGCAAAGTCCCTTTGCATTACAAGCTATTGTATCTCCTACAAAGTTGGCAAAAGTTGGATGTAATTACCTTTGCGGCATCAGAGTTCCAATATTCAAGAAGATCTTTAAAGTGAGACGCCGGAACATCTTTTGGCCTATTCTCCATTCGAAGCTCGTCATTCGCATATGCTTCAAAGTGCTTTTGCTTCAACTGACTTTTATACTTTCTCCAAGCAGTACAAACTGAATCAAAAATCCAATTCTTCGCGTCTTCAGGAATGTCATATTTTTCCTACAAATTTAGTGCAATTAGGTTAGTATAAAAAAAATGAAATATCATCAACGCTTATTGAACATTAGGAACTTCAAAAGGGTCATCTGTACTGCATAATCTATTGAAGTAGACCCGAGTTAACCCATAATCATCTATTTCATTACGAAATCAATCACATCTAAATAGTACAATGCTAAAACAACCCAAATAATCAACCTCAATGATATCCTGAATAGCTCCATAATAGATAACCTTACCATCGACGGGATTTTGGTCCCCTAGCACTAGCAAAACTATCAGTTGTTGCCGATAAACTCACTCCACTATTTTGAGTCTTGCATCGGGAATCTCGTTCTTTGGTATGAAATCGGTATCCATTAATAAAATATGAAGTATATCTTTTGGCCACCATATTGGGTCCTTTGGCTAGCCATCGTAAATATTCCGGCACTACAATATTTTCAACTTTCTCTTTAAACCAATTACTGAATTCCTGACTATGATTCCTCGCTCTTTCCCATGCATTTGATCTACTGTGATTAACAATTAAATTCTTATGTTCCCTGCAAGCATGAATATTTCAAGTTTAATCATATAATAAACAAATATAAAATTTCTCTTACTCGATAAACTTTTCCATTTGCTCATCTTCAGTATTGAACAGTGCATATCGATGTGCTTCAAAACATAACTGTGAATCCATGAGAAAAGTATTTGTTTTCTTACTTCCAATTGGATGGCCTATTTTAGGGAATAAAGGTGACATATTTTGAGAGCACTCATCATCCATAGTTTGGTACCTAGTGAATTTTGTCTTCACGCCATCATGTAGGTATCTCGAACAAAAAGTCAAGCACTCATCAGCCAAAAACCCCTCTGCTATTGACGCTTCTGGACAAGATCGATTGCGTACAAACGCCTTGTACTTACATAGGCTTCTCTCAATGGGATACATCCAATGAAGATGAGCCGTATCCCCAAGCTTAATTTCATTCACCAAATGAACAGGCAAATGTGTCATTATGTCAAAAAATGTTTGGATGGAAAATTTTTTCAAGCTCACATGTTATTTCAACAATTTCAGACTGCATTTTTTCAAGATCTCTTTTCCTTATGACCTTACTACATATAGCTGTAATGAAATTTCCCAACCTTTTTAAGGCCAATGAAACATTCTTGGGCTACACTTTTCTAACAGCAACCTGGAGCAAGTAATGCATCATAAAATGAGCGTCATGACTCTTGTACCCTGATATTTTGATCTCCTTCACATGCACACGTTCTGAAATATTCGAAGCACACCCTTTTGGTAATTTAGCATTTTTCATGACAGTACAAAACAAACTTTTCTCGTTTGGTTTCATATAGAAACATGATTTAGCCAAACTTATAGTTCCATCATTATTTGTTTTTGGTTGTAGCTCCTTTCGTATCCCCATTTCTTGCACGTCATAGCGAGAATTTTCATGGTCCTTTGACTTTCCATCTATTTCCAATAAAGTCCAGAGCAAACTATCACATATGTTTTTCTCAATGTGCATCACATCAAGATTGTGCCTCAATTTGTTATGCACCCAATATGGTAATTCAAAAAAAATGGATCTCTTTTTCCACGGACCCTTAGCACTTTGAGGCCTTTTTTAGTTCCCTTTCCAAAGATATTGTTGAATTCAATCAGCTCTTCAAACACTTCCTCACCCGACAAAGGAGCAGGTACAAGTCTATGCTCCTCTTTACCGTCAAATGACTTCTTATCTCTTCGGAATGGATGATAAAGAGGCAAAAATCTTCGATGACCCAAGTAACACATCTTGTGACTATGTTTGAGATATTGAGAGCATGTTTCATAATTGCAAGTGGGGCATGCCAATTTCCCCTTAGTGCTCCATCCTGAAAGCATAGCTAATGCTGGAAAATCACTAACTGTCCACAATAAGGCAGCACGCATTCAAAAAGTTTGGTAGGTTACAACATCAAATGTGTCTATCCCCGTTTCCTATAGTTCCTTCAATTCTTTAATTAATGGTCGTAGGTACACATCTATATCATTTTCCGGAGACGATGGACCTGGAATGATCATAGACAACATTATATACTCTGGCTTCATGCAAATCCATAGTGATAAATTATAGTTCATTAACATAACAGGCCACGTGCTATGAGAAATGCTCATCGTCCGAAACGGGTTGAAACCATCACTTGAAAGATCCAATCTAACATTACGAGGATCGCTAGAGAAATCTGGGTGCAAAGAATCAAAATCCTTCCAAGCTTCCCCATCAGCAAGATGTCTTATATTCCCATCATGGAGTCGTTCATTAGCATGCCATCTCATCGTAGCAGCCGTTTCAGGACACATGAATATCCTCTGAAGCCTAGGCTTTAAAAGAAAGTACCTTAAAATCTTTACTGGGATTTTAGAGCTTGCATTAGTCAAAGGACCAGCATTCTTCCATCTTGAAGACCCACAAATAGAGAAATTATCGGCCTTCTCATTTTCTTTCCAAAATAACATGCAATCGTTAGGGCATGCATCTATTTTTCATAATGAAGACCCAAATATTTTATCATGTTTCTAGCCTTGTTAAAAGATTCTGGTACCTGAGCAAAGGGAAATGCCTCTTTTATCAACTCTAACAAATCTGAGAAAGCCACATTACTCAACCCATGCAAGGATTTAAGCAAGTACAACCGAATAGTGAAACTCAGTTTACTGAAAATTTCACACCCAGGATATAACTCTTGTTTTCCTTCCTCCAGTAATTTGAAAAATTTCCTTGCATCTTTAGATTGTCTTTCTCCAGCTCTTTCTTCATCCCCTGTCTGACCCTCTATATTTCTAAATGTATCATGAAGCATTCCATCAATATCGTCACGCATGTTAGAACCTTCATCATCATTGCTTGGAGAAGGTGTATTTGTCGAGGAAAATCCCTCCCCGTGGAAAACCCATTTGGTATAACCATCAACAAACCCATGAACAACCAAATGATCCTCCACCACATTTCTATAATGCCAGTAGAGATTAATGCACTTTTAGCAAGGGCATAATATTTCATTTCCTTGGGCGGCTCGTTCAAATGCCTTATCAAGAAAATTATTCACTCCACCGATATACTCATCCGTCCATCTAAGGAGATTCATCCAACTTTTATCTCCATAATCCATGAATATCCTATATAATATATTCAAATCACCAAAATTAGTATTCAAGGTAAGCAAGGTCAGATTAGTATAAATTTATGAATGATTGAGCATTAAAACGTTGAAGGTAGAGTGGCCGTTTCTAATGGACCCTCAGCTCAAGGAATATACCAAATAGAGGGAAATGCCTGAGCATAAATATCTGCTATAACGAAATCAGATTGGATATTTTTCAATTTTAGGAACTAGTGGGTGATAAGCTAACTATACAAAGGAAGACTCAATTATGGAAGCAGAGTAACTAAAACAAAGAAAGAAAACTTTAGACATGCAGAAACAGAGTAGTGCAGGTAGGGAATGAAATTTAAGACAATGTACAAACACCAAACAAGTACACAATGCTAAGTTATAAATATCCCTCTTTTACAGTTGCTATATATTATACTGCTACTACCATTAAGCCCAATACAGAAAGCATCTCCACTTATTGAATAACCAATGATACAATCAGATCTATCAGCTTCAAGAACCGCCGGATCTAAGTTTCATCCAATATAAAAAATTCTGCCATACTCAAACAAAATTTCACAAAGAGATAGGTAAACGTTAATTATAAAAAAAATAACTACAACTAGATAAATTAAGCTACTTCAACCAAACAATCAAAGATTTTTCACCAAACCCAGACGAGAAGCGGTATTTATTGCACAGCCAGTGATACTTATCCCACAACGTGAGGCAGTGAATTGTTGAGAAATAACTTGATTCATACACACAACCAGTGATATTTATCCCAAATAATTTTAAAAACTTACAGTGATATTTATTGCACAACTACCATCGCCAATTTCTTCTTCGGTGAGGAATGGAATCTGCGAAGGGCTCAATTGTTGAGAAATTGCAAAAGGAGTAGAAGAAGAGCATGCAAAGTAAATCAAAAAATTTGTGAGAGTCGAGCAAAAACCTAGAATTAGGGATCTGTGAGAACTTGAAGTGTTAGCCGAGCTTAATCGAGAAAAGACCCTAAAATTATTGGATGGTTCGAATTGATTGAAGGAGGTGGCTGTTTGTGGTGGAGGAGATAAAATTTATGGGGTATTTTTGTTGAGATTCTGGTGGATTTAATGGAGGTTGGCGGAGGGTCGACTATCACCAGCATGCACTATACAGCGTGAGAAGAGCTGGACAAAGAATGGAGGTTGGCGGAGGGTCGATGTTCGATTTCTTTGATTTTGGGCGTGATATGCTTGACAAAGAAACTTATTTTCCTTCTCCACTTTTAATTAATTAGCAGTATTACATTTTAAAAAAATACAAGTAAAAAAAATATAATGTAAAAAAAAGGGGGGTTTTGGCGGGTTTCAGGAAAATTTAGGAGGGAAATAATTAGAGGGAATTATTAAAACCGTTCCCAATGAATAGTTTCCAAGATTTGTTCCAATAGATACGTCTGTGGGAACGGTTAAGTTAAACGTTGCAATAAAAAACATCTATGGGAACGGTTCCCACACGAGTGCAACGGTTTTATAGCTAAAGTGTGCAGACAGTACATATGCCTTATTGCAACAGTTACAACCGTTGCATTAAGCTATCTATAGCAACGGTTTTTGAACCGTTGCAATAACATCCGCTGCCATAGGTTGATTTTCTAGTCGTGGTAAGTGAAATATAGTTTTAAGCAAAAATATAAGTGTTCTCCATAGTCCACATACTAAAGGGGGAAATGAATCCACTTGAAACAAGATTGAACTATGGAGCAGTCATCAAGTGGCTCTTTCTCTTTTAACAATACAAGAAAAATGTCAAAAATTGTCCAGGAATAGCGACCGAAATCGATCGAAATTCAAGAAAAATTGATCGATTTCCGACCGACTTTAATTTGTCGAAAAAACAGTGATCGCTAACGTGTAGCGACCAAAGTCGGTCTCAAATTTCGAGGAACGTTGGTCGGTAAATTCAATCAAACTTTGACCAAATTATTTGACACGTTTTATTGGAGAACTAAAAATACCGACCGAATTCGGTCGGTATTACGAAAACATTAGTGACCAAGATCTCGATATTGTAATTTTTTATTTTTCTAAACATTATATATTTCCGATCGAAATCTACCGGTATTATTAAAATATATTAAATTTAAAAACACAAATTCCAACCGATTTCGGTTAGTAATTTAAATCCTCGAAATTATTCATTGCTAATACCGACCGATAATGTTAAATTTTTGGGAATTTAATCTTAACAGTTCCGATCGACTTCGGTCGGTATGGGGTCGATTTTCTGGGTAAAAATTTAGCAGAATATTGTTCTTTTAGAGCTGCACCACCTGCCAACAACCATAACAACCTATAATGGCAACATTACATTTCTGCCATTCAACCAATAATAATTTCTAAAACAATAACAACAATAACAATTATAACAACAATATCAAAATTATATTAACAACATTTATGGTGTTTCAAAAATTCCAACAACTAAACTCTTCACAAGTTAAAACTTCTAATGTAATACAAACATCATTTATGGATTGTTTTGTACTGCATCATCTTTACTGCTAGAAGCTTCATCATCGACACAATTCGAAGGATCGCGATGAGAAGGAGTAGCATCTGGGGAAGACTCACGAGACCGGTGAATCGAAAAAGCCCCACTTGCAAGAAGATTGACCAGCTGACCTTAAAGGGCATTAAATTATTTGTCTCTCTTTTCTAGCTGACCTTGAAGGCTATTAAATTGTCGATCTCTCTTTTCTTCTCTAGCCTTTGCCTCTTCAAGCTCTGCTGACAGCTTTGCGATCTTCTTCTCCATAGCCGAGAGAGTCGATCTATCAAGTGCCTCGCCCTGGACAGGAGTCCCTATACCTTGGAATCCAGCCCTTTAGCGCCGAAATGATCTCTCTGGAAGGTCGTATGCTGTCCGTTTTTTAGGACCACCGACAACATCCAACCATACTTTTTACGCTTTTTCATCTGAAATGGAAGGTGGATCGCCCTGCTCATTCGATGACAATCTCTGATTGTACTCCTCCATAGTAGTATTATAACGCCCCTTTATTTAGAAGATAGAAAATTATTAATTTTATAATATTATAAACATTAATTTCAATCCATAGCAGTTAAAACTTACATAGGTAGTCTCTGCCCGGTCCTCAACCCATCTACTTGGATCTGTCGGTGCCTTTTTCTTCCGGATGTGAGTTTCCATGAAGAACTCATCGTGAGTCAGCTTCCTCCCATATTTTTTTCCCTACAAATATAATAAAACATGTTCACTAAATTTTAATAAATATTGTTTGATAAAAATAGATTTAAACGCTTTAAGGAATTACCAGTAGTCTCCTCGCAATCCCCATGCTCCTTGCACCCATACAGTGCAAGGAGCCAGCCTTCTCAGATGCTCGGGCCTTCTTTCCCTACTCACTCTTCTTCTCGAAATCCTCAGTGGCCCACTGCCTCAGTAGATCCTCCCATAAATGCGGTAAAACCCATGAAGGCTTCTTATTTTTTTTTTCGAGCAGAACAGAAGGAATTGGCTAGTCTCTTACGACATTTGAACTCAAAATTTATAAGAATTGCACTGGTATGACGATCCTCCCATGCACACTTAGTCTGCAAATGAAATGTGTAAAGTTAGATGAAAATATTGTTAATACAACGCTTAAATAGCTAAGAATTGTATTAAAACCTTAAATTGGTTGAAAATATGCTCCACGAGCTCCGGTGGAAAATCACTCCAAGTCTCATACAGTGTCATACAACCGGCCAAGAGCTTCAGTGATTATTTTTGTAGTCTCATGACTAGGTATGAACCTGCAGTATGGTAATTATATTAAATAAACAAGACTAGATATTATAATTTAGAAAAAAACAAAGAAGTAATAAATAAATCTTAACCATTGCCCCCAGGCCTGATGATCATCATATGATAACAATCATACTGCACTGCAATCCTGCGATCCGGGTGGCTGTAATCTAGATGGATGCGATCCATCTAGTGGTGAAGCAAATAGAGCAGATGACAGGCATATCACCACATGGATCTGTGACTACTGATAAGGTGTAGCAATGCGACTATATACAGGATTATGTGGAGGAAGCGGGGTATAGCCTGTGGTGGAGAATAGTAAGAATACTGTTGGAATGACGAATGGTAGATAGTCTGATGAGTATATGGATATGGTGGAAAAGATGTGTGCCTAGAAGATTGTTGTCGGCCATCTGCTATGGAAGGATGCAAGTGTGGGGTAGAAGGAAATGGGGGTGTAGCACTACATCCAAGACCTACCTCGACCCCTACCGGTCATCTGCATAAATTAAAAAAAAATGTTAGAATTGAGAATATAAATTTAAATAAGTTGAGAGCCCTCGAAAAAACTAACATGCTAGCCGTCTTCGAAATATCCTTCCTCGTCCGAAAATTCTTCCTTTTCACTTATTTCATTTTCAT